CGAAAGTCGAAAATTTGAAGGTTTGAAAAATTCACAAGTTTGACCAGGAGGTGACTTTGTGGATATTAGATTCAGATCGTGGTTACGGGAATTTGAATAGCTTTGTTACGTCATTTGGGACTTGTGTGCTAAATTTGAGTTCATTCTGGGTTGGTTTGATATGTTTCGACACGAGTTTTGGATGTTGAAAGATCAAGTTTATTCAAGTTTGAATTGAGGTACGATTCATCGTTTCGATGTTGTTATGTGTGATTTGAGGCCTCAAGTAGGTATGTATTATGTTATGGGACTTGTTGGTATATTTGATCGGGGTCCCGAGTGGCTTGGATGAGTTTCGGACGGGATTCAAATAGTTTGGAGCCTTGTTGATGTTGCTAGAATTTTTGGCTACTGGTGTCTTCGCACCTGCGCATAAGGGATCGTAGGTGCATGCTCGCGGAAGCGTGGAGCTAGTCACAAAAGCGACATGGGGGAAAGGCTGGCTAGAAAGGCCCGCAGAAGAGGTTCGTTGTGCGCAAAAGCGCTATCGTAGGAGCAAACCTGGGGATTGCAGAAGCGACCAATGTTGGCCAATGCTGTCTCGCAGATGTGCGACCTTCTTCGTAGAAGCGAAGATCGCAGGTGCGACCTACTGTCCACATATGCGAAAATGCTGGGCAGAACTATATTTTTGAAGTCTTGGTTCTTATTTCACATTTTGGGATTTTGAAGCTCGGTTTGGGCGACTTTGGAGAGAAAATTCACCATGTAACTTAGGGTAAGCATTCTTGACTCACTTGTGATTGTGTTTCATGATTCTATCTTCGTTTTTGGTAATTTGATTATGAATTTAAAGAGAAATTAGGGGTTTTAGCCTAAAGTTTCATAGAGTGAGTTTTTGAGTTTTGAACATCGATTCGGAGTTGGATTTGGGTGAAACTAGTATGGTTGGACTCGTAATTAAATGGGTTGTCGGATTTTATAAGTTTCATCGAGTTTTGAGGCGCGGGCCCGGGTTGGACTTTTGGGTTGATTTTTGGCTTTTGATAAAAGATTCAACCTTTATCGATTGGGTTTGCTTACTTTGGCTTTATTTGATGTATTTGAGTTACTTTTGGATAGTTTTGAGCCTTTCAGAGGTCGATACGCGCAGGATGACATTTTTAGAGCATCGCTTGGCCTGCTCGGTATTGGATTTGGCTTGTTCGATATAAGTAACACTTCTAAACTTGGTGTTGAGGGTATGAAACACCAAATTACGTGTTATGTAATTGATGTTGAGGTGATGCGTATGCTAGGTGATGGGCATGTGGGCGTGTGTGCGTGCACTATGTGAGTTGTGATTTAGTCGATTCCGTAGAACTGTGTAGCTATATTATCTGAACGTTTTTACTGTACTCTATGTGTTAGAGCACTTGAGCTGTCATTTATGCTAGAAATCATGTTTAGACTATATGCCAGTATGATTGGGACCCATAGTGGTCGTTCTTTGCTGTCGAGTTATGTGCTTAATTACAGTTATGTACTCAGTCGCATTCATCATTTCATATCATGTCTCAGTCTGTGTTATCGTATATTGTCGCATCCTGTATCATTTATTAGGGCTGCTTAGCATGAGCATTGTGAGCCTGAGAGACTGGAGAGATTATTGACTGAGTGGGGCCGAGAGCCTGATTATGAGTGATAATTAAGGGATTGGGCTGCACGCTATAACATATTTTATTTATTTATTTATGCTTGGATCTGTCTTATTATAGCGTTTGGGCTGAAGGAGCCCCTCCGGAGTCCGCACACCCAAAGTGAGCGCAACTGCATTTATATTTGGGATGGATCTTCCCTAAGCATTTACATTTGGACATGGATTTTGCCTAAGCATTCATATTTGGGATGGAGTTCCCTGGGCTGGATTGGCCCTATACAGTACTGTGTGACTCAGTCAGTTGCTATTTATATTGAGGGGTGGACCTTCCCTGAGCTGGACCTGCCCTGTACAGTATTGAGTTATTGAGTACTCTGAGCGTATGAGTACATGAGTTCATCATTGAGATGCATAGCATTTGACATGCGTACTTGAAATACATGCATAGAGATGTATTTCCTTCTGCTACCCGATTTTTGGTGACATTCATGATTTCATTTGTATATTGACATGTAGGCATAGAGATGTATTTTTCTAATGCTAACTGAAAATGAAACATCTTATTTATTGTTGAAAGGTTTTTGGAGAAAAATCACAATTTTCAAACTTACTCATATATTTTTAGGGTTTTCGGTGAAAGATTTGGGATCTACTGTTGTACTGAAAAAGCATGCCTATTCTCGTTCCATCTTTATTATATTGTTATGAACTGTTGCTGGTTATTGGAGTTGTACTCTGACCCTTGTCCCAGCTCGTCAGTACTTTCAACCTAAGGTTATGCTTGTTATTTATTGAGTACATGGGGCTGGTTGTACTCATACTACACTTCTGCACCTTGCATGCAGATGTTGGATGTTGATGTTGTTGCGTACGACGAGAGCTGGATCTGAAGATGTACCTGTGCTCTAGTCATAGCTGCCTCTTGATCTTGGTAGCTTTGGTTTTTCAGATCTGTTCATGTATATTTCAAACAGATGGTGTATTTTATTTCAAACCAACTTTGTAAACTCTATGTATTAGAATCTCGTGATTTGTACTACCAGTCCTTGGAGAGTTGTATAAATTCAGTTATCTCATCTTTGACTCACATCATTATTATTATATTATAATTTATAGTTAATTAGCTTACCTAGCGGGTTGGGTTAGGTGCCATCACGACGGCTTGGATTTTCGGTCGTGACAAAATTGGTCACAAAATTCTACCTCAAAAAAAAGGAACAAAAGGGCAACAAACAAGGCAGTATGAAAATTAATGTTTTATTTTCTTGATTTTTAATAATTCTGGAAATGCTTTTTAACTGTGAAACCTAACAAAAAATTGTATAAAAAATTTCTGGATTTATTATCCTACATACATACATTTTAATTACAATTTTAAGTTTGTCTCCTAATAGGACTCATAAACACCATCTTTCCTATGCTATTAGTTAATTGTTGTACTAAGAACAGGAAAAATTAGAATAAAACTTACTAATAATTGGGATAGTTTGTAATTGTACGTCATAGGAACAGTGAGAATGACCATAACACTATAAATAAAATAATTACACATGTAATAAAAAAATTGATAAAGTATTTCCAAAACAGAAAAGATCTCTTTCTAATTAAGACATCAATCTTCTACTCTTATTTGTCTATATTGAATTCCCACTTAAAACGTATCCATCATATTATCATGACTTCTTCAAAAGCTTAGGATTAATGATCAATCAAGTGCTAATTAATGAATATTAATTTGTACGTTTTTGCTTTCTATGCATGACAGGTGACCTTCCAACTACTAAAATTGACTACCACAAGAGGCAAAAATTAATGATTAGTATACCGTTACAAATGCAAAAAAAAAAAAAAAAAAAAGAAAGA